ATATATATATATATATATATATATATATATATATATATATATATATNATATATATATATATATATATATATATATATATATATATATATATATATATATATATATATATATATATATATATATATATATATTTACGTATTTTAGGGGTAAAAAAAATATATTAAAAAACCAAGCCGCGGATTGGGCCTAATCGGCCGTAGCCGCGACCGAGATTCTTGGCCGCAACGGCCGAAATGCCTGCGGCGTAGGTCGCGGGTGTCACATAGCCAGAAGCAGGTGTATGGGGTCAGACTAGTAGACGATGTGACATTGGTAGTGAAGTGTGACTCGCTAATTCCAAACAATGCAAGAACGACGAAGTGTATAGTACAGGACATGTTTGCGAGTGCTTATGAAGAGGAGCTTCACCTGGTCAGGACTGATGATGGTTCTAACTCCTGGGACTTTCTGGGCACACGGATCATTGCGCTACCATACCCCATTCGGTTTTTTATCTGCCCAAGAAGTAAGAATTACGGGGGAATAAAAAATGGGGTGCTTGATTTCCGCTGTTTCCAGGACTATGGCTCGTACTCAGACAAGAAAGCGAAGATTGGAGCGATTACAGCGGCCTTCCACAGAATCCAGCAACATGCCAGCGAACCACTCATGGTCATCCGATTAGTGTTCGACATGAGTTATAAACTCAGGCGTCGGGACTACCCCCCGGCGCTCTTTTTCCATACCCCGACAAGGTTTGCCAGGGTTACCAATACCTTCAGCGAGGCATGGCAGATGCTCGCTGAAGGGCTGGTTCAACTTTCTAAGCTAGGGACAATTGTGGGGGAACGATGTGATGCTAGAGAGTGAGGAGCGGGATGGGATCGAGAGGAGTAGGACCGCGGAGGTGGAAAGATCTCGGAATGTGTGGTGGGGAAAGAACGGGTCCCCGGTACCGAGTATGAACCGGGTTGTAATCTAATGTATCATATGGAGGTGGACGGACTAAGTGAAGGGGAGCTGCTTAACTAGGGTAATCTATGGTACCGTGCTTGGGAGAATAGGCTAAGAGCAAGGGAACAGATAGGCAAGGGCAAACCCGGTACCGGACGTATCAGGTTGTACATTAAAGCAATGTGAGGATAGGAGAGGTAAGAATAGCAAATAGTCGGGTAGGGAGGCGGGTAGGATGCAGAGAGATTAATAGGTAGAATAGTCAGAAAATGAGGGAAAGGCGTCAATTTCGGGTATTTTTCAAGAGCACGGTAAGATAATACACGCTAGAACACACTACCGTGCGTATATGATAGCACAACACGGACTGTAACGCACGGCGACTAGTGTATCGAAGGCGGTTACGCAACGGGCCGATTGGGACAGACGAATGGTAGATTAGGAGAGAGAGAGAGGGG